TGAAATTGTCTGTCCTTTAAAAAGTTCGCTATAAATTGAGGCAAACGGCCTCGCAATCCGAAGCCATGTAAATCTTTTAAAATGCCATATTTCCACGTAGTGTCATAGGCCTTTTCAAGATCAAAAAAGATAGACACAGCGTGTTGTTTATTAATGAGTGCGTTTTTAACAAATGATTCCAAACGCACTAGGTGATCGACAGTACTTCTGTTTTTACGGAAACCACATTGTATATCTGTTATAAGGTTATTAGTTTCCAAGTACCAAACAAGTCGATTATTAATCATGCGTTCCATGGTTTTGCAAACACAGCTTGTTAGTGAAATAGGTCGGTAATTTGACGGATCTGTATGATCACGTCCAGGTTTAGGTACTGGTACAACTATAGCGTCCCGCCATGAGGAAGGAAATTCCCCTGACGTCCAAATATCATCAAAAATATGTAATAGCGTTTCTAAACATGATTCTGGTAAGTGCTTCAGGAGTTGATAATGTATGTTATCAGCTCCTGTAGCAGTATCGTGAGCTTGATCAAGAGCAGTATGGAGTTCATGAATAGAAAATGTTTCATTATAATCTTCCCCCATTATCTGAATGGGAATTAATAGTTTTCTTTTCTTCTTGTTTTTGATATTGTTGGAATTTAGGCACATAATTAGAAGAGGAAGAGTGTTTAGCGAGAGTTTCACCCAGTTTATTTGCAATATCTGATTTATCGGTAAGTAATTGATCTCCATGGTAAGATGATGGACACTAGATTTAGTACCTTTACCTTTAATTTTCTGGACCATGTTCCAAACCTTGGACATGGGCGTTCGAGAATTTATTTTAGATACATAATTTTGCCAAGACTGGCGTTTATGCTGCTTAAAGGTACGCCGCGCTTTAGCATGTAAAATTTTAAATTTATTTAAATTGTGCACCATAGGATGGCGACGGAAATAATGTTCAGCTTTTTTCCGCGCCTTCCTAGCTTGTTTGCATTCATCGTTGAACCATGGTTTCCGAATATGTGGAACCACAGAGGACTTTGGTATACAATAGTCAGCTATGATATTCAGTTCATAAGAAAAGTCTTTTATAAGATCAGGAACATCTATAAAAAGTTCAGGTTTAAGTTTGGCAGAACAGAGAGTTTCATATAAAGGCCAGTTAGCCTTTTAAAATTCCATCTTGATGATGGAGGAACATCAGATGGGTTTACAGGTTTTAGTATTGTGGGAAAATGGTCACTACCACAGAGGTCGTCGTGGACTGACCATTCAAACTCATTTAATAGGTTAGAATCAGTAATTGACAAATCAAGAGCTGAATACGTTTCTGTGCCAGGGTGTAAATATGTGTTTGAACAATCATTATATATGCATAAATCATTGTTTGAAATAAACTCCTCCAGTATTTTACCTTTAGCGTTCAGAGTTGTACCGCCCCAGAGTGGGTTGTGGCCATTAAAGTCACCCATAATAATACAGGGTTTCGGAAGTTGATTGTAAAGTGTTTGAATATCAGCCTGTTGAAGAGCTGAAAATGGCGGAATATACAGCGAGCAGAGAGTAAAAGCAACGTGCAGAGTAATGCGTACTGCAACGGCTTGAAGATTAGTTTTAAGCAAAACAGGGCTTTGGAGTACATTATGCCGTACAAGGATGGAAGATCCTCCCGTAGCCCTATCACCTGGGGGAGAAAAAGAATGATATGCATTGAACTGACGTAAACTGAAATTATCTGTCTGCTTTAGATATGTTTCTTGCAGACAGAATGCTGATGGACTAAAGTCCTGGACCAATAGGTGTAAGTCGTTAAAGTTGGTCTTCAGTCCTCGGCAATTCCACTGTATAATATTCTTTAGGGAAGCTATCTTTTGGGTGGAATGATTGGGCATCTACCCCGTACCTTTTTAGAGGGCGATATGCTATGCGCCCGTGGCTCGATGTTTTCAGCCACATCCATTCTTTCCAGAGATCCAAACTTATTAAATAGTTGGATCTGATTATCTGACCCCTTTGAAATTCTATCACTTAGATGTCCTTTCGAAGATTCAGTTCTTGCTTTGGTTTGCTTCATATTTCTGTGAGACTTTTGTGGGTTTTGTGCTGGTGATTGATTCTGGGTGAAAGACGATGATTGGTCTTGTGATAGAGTCTGTATGTCAGAAAGTGAGTCCGATGTTTGAGTTGATTGTTCATTTGAGTATATTTGAGGTGCTTCAGATTTCAACCATGTCAAGTCTGTCTGGCAGTCTATAGATGATGTCTTGACTTTGGGGTTTGTTTCAGGGGCTATCTGAACGATAGACGCATACGTTCCTGTGCCTTCCCGAGATAGAACAAGTTTCTTTGCATCAGAGAAACTGATGTTTCTGGAAAATTTAATTTTATTTATTTCCATCTGTTGTTTCCAGATAGGACAGTCTTTGGAGTATGACGGGTGACTCCCTGAACAATTGGTACATTTTTTAACATCATTGTCACAGTCTTCCGTTGTGTGAGTTTGCTCACTGCAGTGAGCACATGTGACAGATCGTGTACACGTATTGACGCCATGGCCATATTTTTGGCATTTGAAACACCTCAGCGGGTTGAGAATATAAGTGTCAACTTTGATATTGCAGTAACCTGCTTTAATTGTTGTTGGGGCAGTCGATGTTGAAAATGAAAAAAGGTATGTATTAGTAGGTTGTGTTTGTGAGTTCTTTCGTGTGGAGAACCGTTTAACATACAGAACACCTTGATCTCGCATCTCAAACACTATGTCAGCTTCAGTCATATCAGTAAACAACTGATCCCTGTCACGAACAATGCCTTTACTGGTATTGAGTGTTCTATGAGCTGTAACTGAAACAGGAACACCAACAAACGAAACTATTGACATGAGGTTGTTGGATTGTTGCTTCCTGTTGCATTCTATTAGCAAAGAACCTGATCGCAATCGTCTGATGTTTTTACCTCGCCAGCTATGCCTTGAACTCCCTTAGATATTGCAAAGGGTTCAGCTTGAGAGGTGTTTTGTCAACTGTCTCAATCACTAGAAACCGTGGCCAATGTTCTACAGGCGTTAAAGGCCGTTGCTCGTCTTCATTATCCAGAGGACGTTTGGTTTTTGTTAGGGGTTTGGTAGTCCATGTTTGTTGGTAATAAGGTTCATCATCCGAGCTCCCCACCCACCATGGAGTATCATAAAGACAATGCTAATAACAAGTGGATCTCCGACTTGCAGCACCAGGGATACCCGGATGATATACTCCAGCAGAAGAATTAAAGAATTAAGTAATCTACCAGATTGGCCCATGAGCCACCGCCTTCTGGGTATATGACTCTAGGCAAATTACAAAATTGATGAAGATGCACTTGCAATTCGAGTGATAGATAATTTGGCCAAGACTTTTATCAAAACAAGTTAAAAAGTTGAAGTATTTTGGGAAATACAATAATACTCAGGGCTTGGCATGACCAGCCGATTGATTGAACCGGGCCAGTTCAACCACCCGTCTAGGTGAAGTAAGGGGCGAAGTGGTGTGTTGGGCAAAGGAACACTGTTCCTGGAACCAGTGCCCTCAACCACCAGCCTCCCGTCCTCCACCGACACAGGGGCGCAACCCACGGCAAACTGGTTGGTGGACCAAATATGCCCCCGGGTCCACAACGGGGGGTTGAAGGGCTCTTAGCGTTACCCAGCACCCACCACGAGGAGGTGGCCCTTCACGGTTGCCAATTACAGTATAAACAAGAATATAATCAATTAAAAAGTAAATATAATACATACAAATCCGTATTTACTGATGGGTCCAAGGATAGTGGCGCAGTGGCTTGTGCCACTGTCACTGGATCCAGAACAATCTCTTCTCAATTACCAAATAACAGCTCTATTTTCACAGCAGAAGCTAACGCCATATTAACAGCTCTTAAATATATTAATAGACACCCCAAATATAAACAATATATCATATTTTCAGATTCCCTTTCTTGCCTTCAGGCTATTAAAACTTTCTCTTGTAAAAACATCCACTTTTAATTGAAATAACTAAATTGTATAATGATCTTGCAACTGGCCAATGCGACATCGTCTTTTGTTGGTTACCCAGCCACGTTGGAATTTCTGGGAACACTATGGCCGATCTTGCTGCCAAGGCAGCACTCAACCAATCTGTGACACCACTTCTTATTCCATACTCTGATTACAAAGCTAGCATTAGAACTTACATCCGCGATCTGATGCAAAAGAAGTGGGACACCCAAGTAGGTATTAACAAATTACATGAAATAAAACCCTATATTGGTTACACCTACTTGGGTTGTCATTCCGGATTTGAAGAGGTCATCATGCGACGATGCCGCATTGGTCATACAAGGTATACTCAAAAATACTTGTTAGAAGGTGAAGATCCTTCGTTTTGTATCCCTTGTGATGAGAGAGTCACAGTCAAGCATCTCCTGCTTGACTGTGTTGAATTCTCCATCATAAGGGATAAGTATTTCATTGTGAAAACAGTTAAGGATCTGTTTAACACTGTTAATTTTCATTTAATTATTGGCTTATTAAAAGAAATTGATTTAATAGATGAATTTTGAATAATATGTTCTGTAGATAGATGTACTTTAACGATTTGTAGTTTAGATTAGTAACTTGTATTGTTAGTGGCTGTACCCTCAAAGGGGGTTAAAGTACTGTAAAATTATTGTCCCCCTGAGAGGGTACGTAAGTCCCAAAACATTTCAAGTACATTTAAGTCTACCAGGTTTTTAATCGTAGTATTTTTGTCATTTTAATGTACGGCTACATGTCAATATAAACGCCAATGACTGAGGGGATGGTGTAAATCCAGCTAGGGTGCAGCAGGTAGCAAAGGTACTGTAAGTCCCCATGGTCCCTAGTATGGTGATCTACCTTCAGTTGTTGGCGATCTATAGCCTGTTTTTATCTTGTATTGTCCTAATAGTGCTATGAGTTTAACCTTCCACACCTTGTATGGATACAAGAATTTTTTTCCTTGACACTTTCAGAAAACAACTGCAGTTTCAGTCAGAGGTACCCTTCCACCTTTGTGCCCTACACGGAGAAGTACCTCACGACCAGACCAAAGCATGAAATCGTCGGAAGCTTGAAAACCTGCATGATTGAATGTACAACTATGTGGGCATGTGATGGCTTCAACTTCAATCTCTTGGACAGCAGCAGTGGAAATGGAACCTGTGAGTTTGTGTCTGTGTCACTGGCAAATCTTTACACCAAATCTGGATGGACATATTACAAGGCCATTTGTTCTTAAACTCCAGCACAGCCCGTGTAGGATGTATGAGGAAGGCTGCCCTTGCATATTAACATGTCCCTTTGGTGGAGTGACTGACTGATAGTGTTCATATATAACCGTGCAGGCATACAAGTGGACTATGTATCGTCATCACTGTGACAAAACAAATTGAGGTGCCCACCTTGACCATGAATTATATCAATTCAACACCCAATTTCCAGTGATTGAGTGTGCGCTGAAAAACTAAACTCACTCACTCACTCACTCCAGTGATTGACATCAGGGATATTCATCCATGGCCAGGTCAAACATAACAATGGTGTGGCTTCGTGTGCCAAGATTTATAGCCTGCATTACGATGAGCCCGATCCTCTTAAAATTACGGCTGAGGTGCTGCATTATTTCAATTAAAGGGACACTGATCCAGAGCAATTCCCCGGGACTGGTTGTTGTTTTGGCTATTGTTTTTTCCCCACGACAACCCGGATGATATCTCAGAATTCTTGACTGGGTTGCGATCTCTGCTGCGCCGCCCGCACGCGGAATTGGTACATTTAACAAAAATTAAAATGGCAACTGGACTTCGTAAATCTTCACCAAATTTTATGATCTATGTGAACTGGGTAGAACCCTACTTTATATAAAGATATTCCAGCGCATATAATCATTTTGACATTAGCTTACCTACCCCTGTACCGAAAACTTAATACTGTCACAAATCGTGTATAACTGTATTTTGACCAAACATCAACAGTGTCTAAATGGTTATCACTGGATACGCTTTTTCAAACTACACTAAATAATATCGAACTAAGTGAAATATTAATTTTGTCGATCCCTCGCTTTACCAGACAGCAAATTTATAATGTTGAGTATTTACTCCAGACAGGAGAAATGCTGTAAGGGAACCCTTGTCGGGTAATCTAGAGGTGTTACCGCTACTTACACCTGTTATACATTCATTACCTCTCCGTCAAGTGAATGTCTCCAAATAAACCGGTGTAGGTTTATACCACCATGTACAAGCATGTGTTACAGCAAGGGAGTAGTAAGAGCTGTAGTGCTTAAACAACTTAGGGGTCGACGCTGTTTTGAGGATACGAACGTAACTTCATTGTTGCATAAGAAATACATATTAACATTTGCTGTGTACTAAACTGTATGCCCATTTACTAAGTAAAGTTTCAGATTTTTCTAGCAATGACGATTCAGTCGATTTAGTTTACGGATTCAAATACATCAAATGTGAGTTTTTATTATTATAGTTTAATAGATATCACATTGCTACATGACATGCTTAAATATCGAGGTAATAAACACATAAATAGGATCAAATTGGATCAGTCATCGTGCCTTTAACGCATCCTAAAATCCGAAAAAGCCCAGTACACTGCTGGGGTATTTGATTAAAATCAGACAAGAACTGCCGGGGATATTTTCAAATAACGGCATTTGATGGACATCCACCGTTGCTACTGTCCCATTGTTTATGAAATTCTGTCAAGGTGGACAACTGCCCAGTCCCCGGGTCCGTCACCGTCGAGGGAGCAGGGATTGACCATCTGACCATCGCTCTGGATCAGTGCCCCTTTAATCTATTGTTTACTTGTTGCATTCACAGTTTTCAGTTACATGACCCCTTCTGAGCATATATGAATCCATTCCTAAATTCCAGTGATGGACATCAGGAAGAGCATGTGTAGGAATTGATTTAGTAGCAAGACTGCTCTTGCATGATATGGCACTTTGGCGAGGTGACTGGCTGTTACTGTTCAGATATAGCCGAGCAGGCATAAAAGTCGGCTGAGCATAGTCAACACCGTGACAAAATAAACTGATTGGACAAAACCAACAAAAGAAAACATGTGTGTGTTTCAACAATGTCATTGTTTATTTGTCGTTGAAAATGCCGAAATGTTGCACTTCAGTGACCAGTTGTGAATTATTGGATTTTTATATTCCCGACCTACTAATTAAGGCAAATCCGTCAGAAGATATTTTTTGTTCAACAAATGACTATTGGTTGGATAGTTTTCAAATTTGGAAAACAGCTTCCTTGTCGAAAGGAGACGTGCAGTGCAATGTTTGAAAAAGTTGCGTGAATTTAAATATTTGAACTTAAAAACTTTTGTTCAATAACATCAACACATTTGAAAGGGTTGTTTTCAAATTTGGTGATCACCCTCCATATCTGTAGGAGATACCTTAAAGTTTCTATTTTGAGTTGATGGAGAGCTATCATAATTACATCTCGTTTTCTCATCACTCGAGAGAAAGTCCCACACCAAACTTGTTCAAATTTCAACCAGTTTCAGCTTTGGGCAATGTTTTCTTGCAAAGGTGCATTAAAATGTTTGGCAGATATTTTATTTTTGTCGAGAATAACCAGTATATATTTATTGAATTTGTACTGCAACTATATTGTCTACATCCATTGTTATTCCTCTGTAGTTGTTTCTATTGATTTGTAAAGTTAGTTTATTTAAGAATACAATTATTGTTAATCATATTATCTTTCTTTGTTGGATTCTCACTGAATACTCCGCCCGGATAGCGGAAGGTCGCGGGTTCGATCCCCGACCGCGTCATACCAAAAGGCGTTAAAATATGGTATTTGTTGGTCCCTGCCTGGCGCTCGGCATTAATGGGTACAACAAGGACTGGTCGGCTCGGAGTCCGTATAATGTTGTCTGAGTGGGGTATTCATGCTTCACTGCGGCATGGTATCTCAGTGAGCTAGCACTATAAAACCAGCTTCAGTCTGGGCTAGTACAAGCAGCCGCACATACACATACACACGCATGCACGTCGTCATATGAGCGAACTATTCTCAAGCACGACGTAAAACCCAATTTCACCTCACCTCACCTCACCTCACTGAATACCTTCCCAGAATAACTTCGGGTTTCAGTTTTGAAAACGTAGCGTGACAAGGGTGAAATGCTTTTAGCGTGTTACTCGCCTGGGAGATCACAGTGCTTTGCACTGGTATGCACAACTATCGAGGTAAACATAACGCCCAAGTACCTACAGACGGAAACAGACTCATAGCAAGGATGAGGTCCAGTGTTCCTACAACCCATCACGTTAGTCTTATTAAGCTTTACCCTTATTCCAAAATAAATTTTAATTTTAATAATTAATTCTGTTTCGTAACAATTTTGCCAATATTGAGACTGATATGAATGCCCTTTCTGGCAGTTTCCTCCAGAATTGTTACAATTATATCAATAATACATTCTCGCAGTTCATGGTATTTCAACATAAACTGAGTTTAAATATGTATATATTCGAATAAGTGATGTATGTTCAAGTGATCATCACACTTGCATAGATTATCATAATCACGTGATCAATTTTATTGAAATTGCACGTTCAAGTGCGTGTGAGTGAGTGAGTTAAGTTTTACGCCGCATTCAGCAATATTCCAGCTATATGGCGACGGTCTGTAAATAATCGAGTCTGGACCAGACAATCCAGTGATCAACAGCATGAGCATCGATCTACGGAATTGGGATACAATGGCATGTGTCAACCAAGTCGCGAGCCTGACCACCCGATCCCGTTAGTATGCCTTTTACGACAAGCATGGGTTACTGAAGGTCAATATTCTAACCCGGATCTTCACGGATTGATCCTGATGAAACTGTTCTGTTATGATCTGCGTAAAGTTTCTGATTGGGCTGACAAATGACATTTAATCCCGATAAAACAAATTCTATACAATTTTGTCGTAAGGTACAGCCTAGCCCAAAGCAAAATTTAATAATGAAGAATAGCAATAATTATTATGTTAGTAGCCATAAACATTTGGGACATACTCTACAGCATGACTTGACTGCATTGATTTTTCCATCACAAGGGATAAAAATTTCAATGTTAAAACTGTGAAGGATCGTTTTAGTAAAATTAACTATCATTTAATCATTGAGTTTTTAAAAGAAATAGAATTCGATTAATAAATTTTGATTGATATGTTTTGTGAATAGATAAATGATATTTTATAATCGGTAGAATAAATTAGCAATTAAGATAGTTAGTGGCTGTATCCTCAAAGGGGGTTAAAGTACTGTTAAATTATTGTCCTCCTGAGAGGGTACGTAAGTCCCAAAACTTCCCAAGTCAATTTAGTTCTACACACCTTTTTAATCGTAGAATATTTGTTGTTTTATTATGGCTAAATATCAGTACAGTAGCCAGTGGCTGAAGGGGTTGTATAAATCCAGCTAGGGTCCATGCAGGTAGCCAAAGTAATGTAAGTCCCCATAGTCCCTAGAGTGGTGATCTACCTTCAGTTGTTGGCGATCCTCAGCCTTATTTTTATTTTATTGTCCTAATTTGAAATCCTATTTTAGAGATATACGCTAGTTTTATTTCCTATTACTGTGATTACTAGTTGGTTTTACTGTCCTTCGTCGACAGGGTTTTAAAATTTGTGCATTTGTCATGAATTTATAACTGTCTTAAGTCACGATATGTCTGAAATACTGCCGCTGTGACTATAAACTTTAACTCACTCACTCAATTTACAGCATGATCGTATCCTCCCAAAATTTCCACATCCCGTAACCTCAAATAACATTTCTGGTTGACTGCACACACTTTAACATACTGATTACCTCAGTCTGTAATGGTTGAATCCATTAATCAGTAATGAATACAAACAATCACTCAGCAAACAAATTATATATTTCATTCAGACAGGGTTATTAACAAAAATACATATCTGTTCTAGTTATAATTACATATAACAGTCTATGTAGAACATTTATATAGAACTTGTGTCTGTTAGGGCTGTTACGGTGGTGACATTATAAACTGCCACAGTGTCACTGCCGTAACATGCAGTCTTTACCTGTATTTTACATGACAGGGACATCCATAAGTAATTATTTCGCCTATTACATATTCTTTAAACATTCTGAAATATCTGACTGACAAATTTCATTAAATTATTTTTTTTCCTAAAGTAAACATATAAAACTGGCTATTATTAAAAATGTCACAAATGTCATTGTGTCACTACCATAACAATTAATGCCAATGTCCATACCATAAATTTATCAATTTCCGTACTTAATTAAAATTGGTTTATGTGTTTATTCCTAGATTTGGTAGTGTAAATATGTTTGGTAGTAGAGCTTCAAGTAAGCATAATACAATTCATATTCTCATTTTGATTTTTTGCTACATATTACTTTATATTTGCAAATCATAATTGAAAGGAATTGTTTGGCTTTCAAAACTCATTAGCCATGCTATGTTGTAAACTACATATTTTAATATATATGTACATTAAATGTGCGTTAAGCTTGCATAATTGATGTTTTGTATATTCAGAATACTATGAACGTAATCAACAACATTTCAAGGTAAAACAAGAAAACAAAATTTTAATTTTTTGCCTACATGAAATATGCACGAATTTATAAATTATATATTTCAGATTTATTAACTAACTGCTCTCTTCTCTACTAAAATCTCTACTCTGCTAAGTCAGGTGATGTATCATTATCTGTTGTTTCAGTTCAGTGCACTTCCTGGGCTATTCTATTACGTAAAAAGGGGTGATGAGGAGTTGTTGTTTCATCAATGTGTGGTAGTATTGGGATGTGGACGTTTGGGATGTGGATGTTTTGGGATATAACCCAGCATGATTGTTCCTGGAATGATCAACTGTATACCTAAAAAGGTTACACCATGGTAAACTGTCTCGCACATTGTTGTCATATTTTGGGACAATCGGACCAAACAGCAAGCACTAACACTTGAAAAACTTAATCTTGATGCACTTTGAACTATTTGCAGTGCTATTCACGGTACGAGTAATAAATAAATGTATAATGTGACAAATTTCCAACAAATATGCACGCAAATATACATCCAAAAACTAACAATATTTCATAAAATGAATAACAATTTAACTCCAAAATATTTGAGTAATCACGTACCTTCGAAGGTATCTGACACTATAAACTACAATTACCGAGAACGTTCGAAACTTCAAACTATCGATTGTAAAAGTGCAAATTATGCCAAGTCATTTCTCCTAAATTGTGGATTCCTTGGCTGACGATCACAGAGAATCGACTACCTTGGGTAATTTTAAGACACACATCAGTGTGTCAAATAATAATAGTCACAACTACAACTTATATTCTGGTTCAAGATTCATGCCTCAGGCAGCGATCAAACGCACAAAAATGAACGATTTATATCTTCAAATCCCTCTTGTTCTTGTGGTTATTGTTGTGAAGATCCAGTTCACTATTTATGCTACAAAGGATATGACATAAATTCACTACTATACGGCCGCCCTAATGGATCTACTAAAGATAATCTTGAATTATTAGAAGCTATCCATTCTTTCATTGTATTGTCAAGCAGATTTGTGTTGTAAGTAGTTAAAACGAATGCACTAACTAGTACCTTCCGACAATAATAGTTCTAATGTTATAAGCAGTAAACTATTGTTAGTTTGTTAATTACATGTTTGTTTTCCTCATGATTGTTATTATATGTATACTGTATTTGTATCCCTGAATTTGTATTCAGATAAGCAATATACTGCTTGTTTACCAATCCGGTTCCACTGATGGAAATAAATATGTTTGAACCATTATATTGATAAATATCAGTTTGGTAGACAAACAAGCGAAGTCGTAAACCATATAATACTAGAAGTTATTTTTAAAGATTCATTTCTTGGACATATATTTCTCAGTCTGCACCATTAGCGAACTCAATAGGAACATGGTCGCTGATGCTGTGTACACATTTTATGACTGGCAATTCCCTTGACGTGTTTTGAAAAGTCTTTTATAATGCATCGAACTGAACAAAGCCATATCACTTGGGAAATATTTACGCACGTCATTTTTAACATCTGCTTAGCCTAGCCTATATGAACAAAAACAGTATTGATCATGTATTTCATTTATTTACAAATCGAAATGAAAGACTTACAGAGATTGGATATTTTGGACAAATGCTATCAATATGTCAACACTGTGTTAACCTGGAAACTCAACAATACAAAACACACAGTCCTTCTCAGTCTTTGGTACAAAGATGCTTGTTCCAACGACGATGTGCTGGGAAATATTGGGATTCGTTCTTCACTCTTTTCCCACTGTCTCCGGTAAGTCCTTTAATTACTGTTGGGGGTACAATGGTATTTCGTTTGTTGGACTGCTTAAACACTTTTTTCCTGTGTTTAAATAATCCATTACACGATTTAACACGTATCATACCGACAAAGAAAACATCGACAAACGATACACAGTATAGTCTTGCTGTTCCTTTGGGTAGTCTGTAGTGTTCCTCAATGCATTGATGTCAACATTTGCCATCAAAACCGGGTCATTATTTCGATACTATACCTCTCATGCCCCCTCTTAAAATGTAAAACTCAGACATCCAACATACATAACATGTATAAGTTGCGATGGCTGAGGGGGTTAGATGGCTCTCTTTGTGTGCTGGCGATTAGGTGCCTGACTTTGAGAGTGTGGGTTAGAACCCCGGATGATACTAGAATCTGCACTTTACTTAGAAAGTGTCATCTCAAAAATACCACGTGTTACTTTTGACCTTTTTGTAAATGGGATTGTGCATTCATCTGACACCCATCTTGACTAAAAAGCATATATGTGAGATGTCACCGAAACATGCAACATGACCGTACGCTATCATGTGTACCCTTCTAACTGAAAAGAAACATGTTGAGACCTTGTCAAACTGTGGATAAGTGTTCTGAAAACATGATTTTTCCAAAGATAGATCTGTGTGGATGCATGTGCCTATTTGATAACATTCATGCACCCCAGTGAGGTAATCTATTAATCTGAACTTCATTATGTAATCCATTCATACCCCATACTCCAACTTTGAACAATAATTAGTTTTAAAAAGTGGCCGTAGTGTTGGCAGGAAGTACTGGTCTCATGTGTTGGATATTCAGTATTGGCAGGAAGTACTTGCCTAACGTATCGGACATTCAGTGTTGACATTATGTACGGGACTAAAATC